CCCTGGTGGTCCAGTGGTTAGGACTCCGCACTGTCACTGCTGAGGGTGCGGGTTTGATCCCTGGTTGGGGAACTAAGATTCCACAAGCCGCACAGCTTGGGAAAAAAAAATATATATATATATGGCATAACCGCAAAGTGAAGCTGCTTTGATTGAAGGTGCTGTGGAACACACAGAACCAACACATGCACCCTCCCCTGATCCTCTGCAGTGCCTTCTGAAGCATTTTCAGATAATCCTAGAAGTCAAGGAAACATAGATTGAAAACCCCTGTCCTGGGGTAGAGCATCCCACTGGTATACTAGAAGTGGGTTATAGGTGTATCAGAGATACTGCTTCCCTCAATGCTCCGAGTAGTTGCAGCAGGGAATGCAACAGTGACTCCAGCTAGAGTCACTGGGGCTGATGCCTTTAATGGAGAGCAAATGTACAAACATGATCATTTTCTACGTGTGCCATTACATGATAAAGATTAGGGGGCACTGATCCAGAGAACAGAACTATTCAGTATATAGCCATGGCTATAAAATAATGGTTCTGGTGTTCTTGTGTGACTCAGAAACTGGTTCTGAAAGTAGTTTCAATGTTTCAAACAATTACAGCGTAAGTGTAGGGCTTTCCATGGGGGCCATTGTAAAGAATAATATTCATGGGCGCTTACAGTTTGATGTTTGTTAAGGAGTACAATCAATCTCATATCATATTGTCATATTGTATAGAATCAAGATAGTTCTGATAAAAGATTAGTGCTTCATATTCTTAAACCACAATAGCATAGCTATACATGAAAGTTACATAATATTTCATGGGCCTAGAGGAGTCTACTGTACTCTTTCCAATGCAACATTCACTTTCCATTGTCATGTTAAAATGACATTCCATCATCAAGGAGGAGAGGGATTAGCACTTTCTTGATTCAAAGAATGCACCTGGAAACACATTTCATTCTGCATTACTATTCCTCCCAACCATTGCTACCATACTAGGCATTTTGTCTATTCTTGACATATTTTAGAGTTTTCACAAAGTACCTAACTGGGCTGTGGGGAGTAGAACAGCAAGTTTCCCCTGTCCAGATGGAGGATTAACAACTTCTGGAGAAAAAAATTTCTACCCCACGCTTTTATACTGTGCTTTATTTTGAATACCACAACATGAGAACAGCCAAGTTTAGTTTGCTAAATGTTCAACATGCACAACAAACATTTTTCAAGTTTCTGGAGTTCTCCTCTCCTTCAGGGAAACTTTGGCAATGAGTATTGAGAGGGACGTGGCACCTCTAGGAAAGAGGTAGCCAGAGATTCTTTCAGATTTGCTGACAGGGTATGTAACACTGTCCAGCTGAGAGTACGTGTCCAGAGATAAGCTAAGAGGGTCCTATGAACTCTTAAGGCAAAATCTGCATGTTGGTTTACTAAAGATGTTTTATCAACTCATGATTAATTATGATGATGTTTTGAAGCTTATTTTATAAAATAATGACCAATCTCTTTAATCTGAAGAACTTGAAATATTTATATCATCTTTATAAGGCTATAACTGGAAAGCAGTTTTGCTCACTGCAAAGCTTGTGCTTGTCTCAATAATAATAACCCCCATTCTGTCTTGAGTTGTACTTGCATGTACATATCAGTTGCCAGTCTACTGACTGTGGTTGTTGCCTAAGGGTGGGTCCGTAAGAGAGTTCAAGACCTAAACTCTGTAACACAATGTCAGCAAGCTAAACTCTTCACTCTTCTGTTTTAAATTTAGTTCACAAAGTGTAAAGTGGTACAACTTTTCTGTTCTGGTTGTCAGTTGGTGGTACTTGTCAGGGCTTGAATCTGGAGATCATATGGGAGGGGCAGCAATGAGGGGGCATGAGTAAAATAGGCAAAGTGATGCATGCATGTATATACTCCACTCCTTCTCCCAGTAGGTGATAGGGTCCATCCTTACATCCCTAGAATTAACCCAATGGAATATAGAGGTGCGATTTAATTGTCACATTCATATACAGAATATCATGTAGCCTTTAAAATGTTATAAAAACAACAGAGATGATTTTTCTGCCTCTGAGGATAGCAATGATTGAAAATATTGATACTGAATGTTGATAAGAATATGAAGAAATAGACATTCATGCACCATGGGTTGAGGGGATATATTTTGAAGGTCAGTAAGCAAATATATGTAAAAATTTGAAAATATCCATGAGAAGAAGAAAATCAGCCCTTGACATCCATGAGCTGGCCCAGCATTCTCAGCTAAGGCTTGGTGTTCTCTTGTCGAATATAAACAATTTCACAGAACATTAACATCCGATAAGGCCACTCTGCGACTGTGATATATCACGACAAATGTAATCATGTAATCTGTAATCATGTATGAACACAGAGAAACATTGTCCCATTCACAAAAATGGCCAAATATCCTCCTATTCTGGCTAATATAAGTGGCTGCTGCTTCTTTACCTATCACAACTCTAGCCTTGTCCTAGTCTTCCCCATTTGTAGAACAAGATTTATTTAGATACCAAATCATAGAATTACAGTTGACCCCTGAAAAAACATGGGGGTTAGCGGTGCTGACCCTCCACGCAGTTGAAAATCTGTGTATAACTTTACGGTCGGCCCTCCCTATATGTGATTCTACATCCACGGATTCAAACAACCATAATCATGTAGTACTGTAGCACTATTTATTGAAAAATATCCACTCAGTTCAAACCCATGTTCTTCAAGGGTCTACTGTACTCATATTTCCTGACAGCTTTCAATCTACAGCAAAGCCTCACTTCCTTAAACCCTCCTCCAAATCACCTAACACAAGTCCTAATCCTAAAATAAGTTGTTTCTAAAACCCCCTTACTGAAGCACCCCATGATTCCCCATGGTGTGTGCTCTTCCTCTCTATAACCTAACTTGTTCAAATATTGGTGGTTTTGGCTGGAGGGCATTGCCATTCATGATCTTTGACAAAGTGGCTCTATTTGAGGGCATTGCCATTCATGATCTTTGACAAAGTGGTTCTATTTCAAGGAATTTGTTATACAGAAATATTCAAACAGGCATGAAGACATAAACAATGATGCATCACTTTTCACAGAAGAAAAAATATAAGAATATGCTAAAGAATAAGAATATGAAAGAATAAACTAATAAGTATGTTGCATAAAAACTATAAAACGCTGCTGAGAGAAATTAAAGGAGACCTAAATAAACAGTAGATTCAATATTGTTAAGATGTTAGTTCTCCCCAAATTTATCTACTGATTCAAAGCTATCCCAATCAAAATCCTGGCTGGAGATTTTGTAGAAATGGACAAGCTGACTCTAAAATTCATATGGAAAAGCAAGAGTAAGAATAACCCAAATAACTGAAAAATAATAGAGGACTCACACTGCCTGATTTCAAGACATTATAAAGCTACAGTAATCAAGACAAGGTAGCATTGTAATGAAGATACACAAGTAGGTCAATGGAACTGAATAAAGAGTCCAGAAACAGACCCATTACATACAGAGGCAACTGATTTTTGACAAAGATGCAAAGGCAACTCAGTGGAGAAAGAAGAGTCTTTTAAGCAAGTGAGACTGTACCAACTGGATATCACTATGCCAAAATTGAACTTCAACCTATATATAAGGTGCACCATATATAAAAACTCAAAATGGATCATAGACCTAAATATGAAACCTAAAACTGTAAAACTTTTAGAATATAGGATACAATCTTTATGACCTTGGTTAGGCAACAATTTCTTATATTTAACACAAAAACACAATTGGTAAAAGAATTGTTCTTCATTAAAATTAAAAAGTTCTGCTTTCCAAAAGACATTTTTAAGAGAATAAAAAGACAATCCACAGACTGGGAGAAAATATTTGTAAAACATATATCTAATAATACACTTATATCCAGTATATATAAAGAACTCTTAAAAATCGACAATAAAAAGGAACCACTCAATTTAAAAAAATTGGGCAAAATATTTATACCTACTTCACCCAATATATATGGATGGCAAATATGCATATGAAAAGATGTTCAACATCATTAGTGATTAGCGAAGTGCAAATGAGAACCACAATGAGATATGGCTAAAATTAAAAGACCAACCATACCAAGCGTTAGCAAGGATGTGGAGGAATCAGAACTCTCATGCACTGCTGTGGGAATGTAATATGATGCAACCATTTTGGAAAATGTAAAAGTTAAATGTATACCTCCCATATGACCCACATCCCACTCCTAGGTAGTTATCCAAGAGAAAAGCAAATGTCCATACAAACAGTTCTACAAGAAACAGTTGTAGCAGCTTTATTTGCAGTAGCTCAAATCTGGAAAAAACCCAAATGCCCATCAACAGATGAATGGATAAACTGTGCAAACTGTGGTATAGACATATAGTAGAACACTACTTGGCAATAAAAAGCAATGAACTATTGATACACAAAACAACATAGATGGATCTCAAATAATTATGCTGAGTGAAAGAAGCAAGATCCCCTTCCCTCCAAAAGAATATATGCTGTATGATTCCTTTTATGTAAAACTACAGAAAATGAAAATGATTCTATATTGTCAGAAAGCAGATCAGTGGTTGTTTGGGGACAAAATAGGGAGAGGTGGGAAGGAGGCATTACAAAGGGGCATGAAGAAACTTTTCAGGGTGATGGGTATGTTTGCTATCTTGATTGTGGTGATGGTTTCGTGTCTGTATACATATGTTAAAACTTACCAAACTGTATACTTTAAATATGTGTGGTTTGAGGTATGTCAATTATATCTCAATAAAGCTATTAAATAAAAGCATGTGGTAGATCTGTATAATACTAAATTGGAAAGATAACTGAAAAGACAAAAAGGCAAGTTGCAGAATACTGTAGTTCTATTTCTGTAAGAGAATAAATTTATGCATATTCTTTATTAAGATGATATGCAATGAAAGATTAGGGCACTATGCACCAAATGTTAACACAGGAAAAACATTAAGAGATTCAAAAATATTTGTAGAAGCCTATTTATTGATATGGAAAGATGGTCACAATATACAGTTAGTTGGAAGAAAGGCAAGTTACAAACAGTATTTACAGTATGATCTTGTTTTAATTTCTTAACTGTTTAAAAATCTCAAAGCATATAACCCAATATTTTTACACACTGAAACATTCTCTTCAGCTCAGACCAGGGGTTGTAATTCCTACCCTGAGTCTATAGCTATAGCCCAAGTCCTGGGAATGCTTTCTGGACCACAGACTTCCAGGAATCACTATCATGTAGATTGAGGCAGCAGCTCCTCTCTTAGCTTTCCTGTTTTGTGTTGATGAAGCTGCAGTTCTGGGCCTGGGCCTAAATTTCTCCAATTAAGTTTATCCTGTACAGTTTTAGCTGGTACAAATGCAGAGAGTAGGCTTGCCTACTAGTAAAAGATAGAACCGTTTATCTTTTCATACGACACACAGGAGAATAAATTATAAATGGTAAACAAATTAAGGTATAATTTTGCAAGGAAGAAAAAAGCAATTATCCTTTAAACTGTAAGGTATGAAACAATGTACAGAATGATTCCAGTTCTTTATTGAAGAAGATAGGAAGGACACATAGCAAATTTCAGTTGTTTGGCTCCAAATCTACATCTCATTCATTCAACAGTTTGGGGCACCTACTGTTTCCCAGACACTGCCAGTTCAAATCCATACACTCATCCCAGACTTTTCTTCTTACTCCAGCAAGGTTTAGCCAAATGCCTAATGGACATGTGCATTTAGAGGAAGTTAAGAATTGCAAGACTGGCAGGGACATTATCTACAGCAAAACTGAATCATTAAAACCAGTCTGTGAGCCTTGAAGGCTGCCACACAAAAAGTGGAAGAGGACTATTAGGTAGTGCAATGAGAGCGGGTTTTGGTATCAGACAAAACAGCTATGCCACACTTGCCTGCTGTGGGAATCTAGGAATAAGTATTCAACCTCCTTAACTGCCATTGGAGGCAATCCAGAATAACGAGTTATAATCATAAAAAAAAATACCAGTACATAGCTCAGAGAACCATTGTTGAGAAGAAGAAACCTGTAAAATATAATGCCAACACAGTATCTGACATGAGTAGGTACTCAGGAAATGTTTCCTCCCTACATCTACCTCCTTTCTCTTCTGCAAGATTACTTGACATAAATGAAATAGCCTAACAATATAGGAGTTATAAATGTAGTAGCAAAATAAAAGATGAATATTACATTTTATCTGAGATTCAGGGCCATTTGTGTGTTGTAGAATGAGTTATCTGATGCAGGTAGAATAGGGGAAAAACAGTAATTCCTTTTACATTAAACAGCCGGTAGCAACCCTGCTTTCTTTACATATTGAGAGTGCACATTTGGCAATGAGTGTGTGTGTATACATATATATGTGTGTGTGTGTGTACTGTTAGATATCTTTTTGTGTGTATATGCCTTGTTTCTACAACTAGATTATAAATTCAAGGATATTATCTTTTTAAATCATTTGAAGCTGCAAATGGATCTAAGCAGATACTAATGAAAAGTTAGCTTACTTATGATGCACCAATTTGCTATCTTAAATGTTAAAAAGCTCCCCATCTACACAAGAGAATAATCAACAGATGTTTTCAACTCACAATGAAATATTAATTTGATACCCCAAAATGGTCTAGCTCAGACCTAGACTGTCACAGGTAATATTGTGTTAAAGATGTAATTTATAACATGCACACTGTAATAACCAAAACATTATGCATGGCTCTTTGGGAACACACAGCCTGTTAGAGTTTGGAGATTGTTCAAAGGGTTCTCTTTCATTTCTAGCTCATTTTACATTGTTTCGATGATCACTTTAACTTCACGGAAAATGGCCATGAGTGTATTATAACTCAAATGATCAACAACTACAATTGAGCCCTTTCTGATATGCTCCTTTATGTTAATAAATATGGCCACAGCACTAACGAGATTGGCTTTTGCCTCTTTTTGGTTAAAGATGAGTTTTAATGCTGCTAATGCTTTTGTATTGATCATGTCTCTGGCTGCAGTTGGATTTTCAGACATATTCAAAAGTACTTTCAAAACAAGATTTCTGGTTTTACGATTTCCCAGGGAGAGCAAATGAAAAAGCTCTGAAAAGTAATTGGCAACAATGTGGTGATGGTTAGAATCAGTAGCCAGTTGTCCTAGTATCTTTAATCCGGATTGCTGTCCAGGTGAGTTCAAGGGAAAAGACATGGTTTCCTTACACATATGCTTAACATGTAATTCAACCTTGCGTTGTCTTTCATCCCCAGAGGGGGGATTCAGAGTAATTACAGCCTTTTTTCTCATTTCAGAGGAAGGAAAACTAAGCAAGCTTTCAATAAGTGTCACTACACCCACCTCATTAATGAACTCTTGGGCAAATGGATGAACATTAATGATCCCCATTGCAATTTGAGCTATTTTATGAATGAGAGGATCAGTAGTTGATTTAAGTAAGGTAACAAGTTTTTCAAACTCCTCAGAATCCATGTAGCATTCCATTTTGCAAGGGCAAGCAAATGGCTTAATCCCATTTACCTCCCTGATCCTGATTTGGCGTCTAATCTCCTCTATGGTCTGGATACAAGGGTCAGAACCAAATGGGTACTCAGAGACAGGCTGTGAGCTTGAGGGGGTGCTCCTAGAAGGGCACGCTGTTGCCACAGGCAAAGAATGGGTATTTTCCTCAGCGGAGGCCAGGACAACATATGAAGGAGGCTTTTTCTCAAATGGGACTTGGGATCTAAAGCCTAACACTGCTGGAGTTACAGCAGGAGCTTTGGGCCAGATAGTTACCTCAGACCAGTCCTTGGGCCTATCTTTTTCATTAATTTCATCCACAGGCTGGGGCTTAATTATCCTGCTCACAGGTCTAGGGTTAGGGTCAAAACTAGTTTCATCTCCATCCCAAAACCAGCTCCCAATAACGTTCTCCTCCTCCTCCTCCTCAGCCCCTGGCCTAGCCTTGCAGTTGGCCCCAGCCACAGGCTCCAAATTCTTAGCACAGGATGGGGGACAAATATCAGCTTTACCTTCATCCTTAGCACTGAAACGATTACCAGCCTCTTCTCCATTCCAGAACCAGGAACCAACACTGGCTTCTTCCTCAGCCCAAAACCAGGTATCAATACCAGTCTTATCTTTACACGTAGACCTGGACTCAGCACTGGACTCAGCACTAGCCTCAGCCACAGAACAAAACCGAGATGCTCTAGTGGCCTCATCTTCAGCTTTGGGACTGAAATCTGCCAGAGCTCCTTCCTTCATCTCAGTAACAATCTTGTTCTTAGACGCTGCCTTCACCTCTGCCACTGGATCTTCCTGAGTCCCTGCCTTGGCTACTGCTTTGGCCTGGGTCTTGGCTACAGATCTGACTACGCCAGTAGCCTCCCTCTTGGCTTCAGCTTGTACACCAGCCCTATTTTCAGTTTTGGCCTTCTTTTTACTCTCATTCTTTCTACTCCTATTCTTTCTACTTGCATTCTTAACCCCAGCCATGGTTGAAGCCCAGTTATGTAGATAGCTCTATACAGTCTTGGCTTTGGTTCTCAATATGTCCCAGGTCAGTGTCTTAATATTCTTTTACTGGGTTGAAGGTGATGATCTTCTGTCACTTCAAGGCCACCACAGCCACCACTGGAGATAGGCCTGAGGTGGAAGAAGAAAATGGGCTTTGAGTCTCTTCCAACTGTGCTTTTCTATGCAGAGAGCCACAGAGGACCTGTGAAAGTAGAGATAGATTGTGTGGTAGGAGAAGTAGAGTAGTATAAAACTCTGTTACCTCATTTTATCCCTTCCACAGTCCCACTAATGCCCAACAATGCCCTACCCAGGCACTTCCATACTCTTTTCTCTGCATCAAATAGGAACAGAGACGATGGGAAAGCTTGGTGAAAGTGAGAGAGGCTAAGGAGTGTCCAGCCCCTTTGGTATATACCACTATACTCTATAGGTCTATCTGGTAGGCCTCACACCAACCTGCACTGATCTGGTGCAATTTTCCCCTTTCTTGCTTCCAGTGTTGATAAGACCTGTAGTCGACTCACAGGCAGACCTATGGACAAAAACACAGGAGGGATTGGAATTTTAAGTATTTGGTAGACAGACATGCATTCTGGCTTCTAAACCCAATACCTGCCTTTCCAAATCTAAGGCTTTGTGAATATAATGTTTCTGGCCTCCTTGGTCCTCCTCATGGCTTCCTTCCCCACTTCCTAGGTATCTATCAATTACCCTATAGGCACAATCCTGGCTCACCCTAGCCCCATTTCTTATACATAAATGTGAGGGCAGAGGTGTGTGGGAAGTTGGAAGACAATGGCTCCAAGATATGATCTGCTCTTACTTGCCAACAGCCAATTCCCATTCCCAATCAATAGGGGTGCTCATGCTCACACTCACCTTGGATCCAAATGAGTAGCTTTTGTCCTCTTTCTTAATCAAATTCAAAGTGAACAGCTACCTGCAGATTTCTACAGTACTCTATAAAGGAACAAACCTATGGATAGACAAAAAGAGGAAAGAAAACAAAAGAGACTGAGATGGCCCAACACCCATGACAAATGTTACAACATATGCTTCTGTACATTCAAGGCCATGTTAAATATCTCCCACCTGTCTTCTCCTCCCAAATGATCCCCCATCCACTCCCCAAAGACCTGCAGCTTGTCTAATCACACCTCCCAACACTAAAGTCAGTCATTTTCCTAGCAGAGGCCACACCTTCCTTGAACAAAAAGATGAGGTGCAAGAATGGGTAGTGGAACAACTGTATTTAGAAGACAGGCAGTGAACATAATGGGGACTACTATTTCAATACCATCTTGCATGCCCCTGCCTTTTCCCCTTCCCCACACATACATAGTTCCTATATCATTCACCACCTATGCCAGCCAGCCCACATAGCAGGTGTCCTCAGGAGATGCTACCCTTACCACTACAGAACAGTCCACTAGCTGGAGAAGAGTCACGCCCTATAGAAAGAGAAGCGGCATTCAGCAAAACACCAAGAGAGTATGTTGACAATGGTAGAAAAGTATCAGGTTAGCGAACAGATTCCAGAATTCAGGTCCTAAAACCTCCTTTTGAAGAATCAAGGAATAAGTAAATAAATGTCTCTCAGGTCTCAGAATTTCCCAGGAGCTCCACAAAATCTTCTGTGGGACTGCTTCTGCACCAAAATGAGAGGGGGCTGTGAAGGGTAGCTGGGGTTTGGGTTTCCAAAAACAGAAAATGAAGATGCAAACTGACTTCACGCGTTCTAAATTGACCCTTCAGAAAAATTTCCTCTCTATTCTGAAGAGCCATGATCACACCTTAACATATTAAAGTGGGCTAGGATGTTGAGAAAACAGATCCCAAATGAGAAAGATGGATTAATACATTATTTATTTACACGGATCCTTCCTGTGAAAGCCTATTGACTCCTCAACCTGCCATTTTCTTGCATTTAATTGGGTCCAAGACCTAAATATGGAAGGCAACAAAACTGCTGTATTAAGAGGCACATAAACTTTTCATTTTGGTGTCTTCATAATCTACTCGCTCAGTTCCCCTTTCACGGAATGTGCCAGACCTACCGGGCACACAGGACACTCTGGCATCAAAGAGGCGCCTGTGCGAAGGGACAGCACCCGGCACGCGGGGTCCCACAGACCCCTTTCCAGAATCAGGGCCCGGGCGGGCGGCCCCCCGCGCCCGCCCGCTCGGCACCGGGCTCTGATCGCCACCCCAGGCGGCCTCTCCGACGCCCCCACCCCGGCTCCCCTCCGCCATTTCGCCCGCAGCAGCCTCCCCCACAGCCCTCTCCTGGCACAGGCACCGTCGACGGCGGAGCGCGGGCGCCCAGAAAGCCCGCCGGGGAGCGGCCGCGCCGTTCGCCTCCCCAGGATCCGAGGAAAGACCTGAGGCCAAGACCTCGCGCCCCAGGACCGGTCCGCGCCGGTCGCCGCCCCCTCAGCGCCAGGGGTCCCCCAGCGATGCGCACCTCTCTCAGAGACCCGCTCCGACCCGGTTGCCTCCCCCTCGTCAGGCTGCCAGGGTCCGTGGGGCAGGTTGTGAGCCGCTCGTCGCCCCCGAGACACCCCCACTTGCCTTCGCAGACGCAGGGTCCCGATGGTCGGCCTCCCCCTCCTGTCGCAGCTCCTCACTCGGATTCCCACCGCTCGCCGTGCGGGCAGAACGGCAAAGAGGCGTCCTGCCCCCCGCGCGGCTGCGCCAAACCAGACAGGGGCTACGAAGGCTGCGGCACCAACCGCTCGCGGCGAGGGTGTCGGGAAGGGGGCGGAGGGATACGGCACGAATGGGCTCGACGCCCCCTCCCAGGCCCACCGTAGTTCCGACCCAGAAAGGGGCGGGGCCAGGAGTCCCGGCCTCAGGGGCGGGGCCCGCCGGTCCTCCGCGGCTACTCTTCGGGCGACCACCCTTCCCACCCCGCACACTTCTGGCACCGCAGCGTGTGGGGCCAGCGGGCGGTGGGCAGTGGGGGCTGGGGTTGGTAGGGTAGGGAGGGCCGCGCTGGAGGGAGCAGCGGATGGATACAGATCGTCCCGGGGTGTGTGTGTGTGTTGTGTCTGTGTGTGTACCGAACTGATCGGAGTCCGCCCCCCTACCCTCCCCCATCGCGCGCGCCATCCTCCCTGGGCACCAGTGGCAGAGGAGCTGTGAGGACGGCCCTCCCCGGGTCTGTTTTACACCTTCTGGGGCCGCGGGCGGGAGGAAGGTGGGAGGCGGCGCCCGTGGAGGCTGAGCCACTGCCCCTCTTCTAAGGGAAGGCAGCCCTAGACAGACCTCTGGCCTGAGGAAACAAACCACCTGTCTGCGCCAGTGTCGTCATCCTCTCTGCCACACTGCCATTTTCTTAGTCGCAGTGATAGCACGGTAGCACACTTTGCCATTTCGCCCCCCCGGAGTTGCCCAGGAAAGAGGGCCTTTCCCTCTCAGGACCCGCACCGGCTCAGACAGTCCTCCCTGTCTCTCATCCCATAGCCAGGTGTCAGGCACCAGGTAGGGCCGGTCCTGGCTTCTCTTCCCGGGTTCTGTCAGGTATTCTCTTGCAGTTGCCTTCAAGTGCTCATCATCTTTGGCAGGGTGGGAATGTGGCAGGGATTAGAACCAACTGGGATCTCACACACTTGCCATACACACCAGTCTAGTTTATCTATTAACAAATAAATTATACTTATTTTTAATTCCAAAATCTGCATTATATCTGAGCCTGGTTCTGATGATTTGTGTCCTTAAATAATGCTTTTTCTTGCCTTTATTATGTGTTATAATTTTGTGTTGCAAGCTGGATATGATGTGTTGGGTAATAGGAACTGAGGTAAATAGACCTTCAGTGAGAAGCTTTATGTTAAGCTGGTTAGCAGTTGGGCTGTGTGTAATGTTTGCTGTAGCTGCAGGTGTCAGTCTTCAAATTCCTCTAGCGTCTTTATTTTTGTCTCTCCTCTTAACTTTGTGTTTCCCTAATTACATCTTGCAGAGAGAGTCTGCATCTTGCAACTCTTTCAGCTGCACTCCATTGTTACTACACTGGAGGCCTGTTAGCATGTGGAGGAGAGGAAGTGTTATATAATCTTCTGGTTAAATTCCAGTCTTTTGTGGGCCTGTCTCTAGACTGTGACCTTCACAAGTGTTTCTTTAGCATCTTTCTCCCCTTTACAGGAGAATGGAAGGCTAGAGTGTGCTGGATAGGAGGAATGCCTTTCCCTCAGCTGGAATAAGGCTCTGGGAAAGTCTTTTCCGCTGGAGATTAGGCCTTTGTTATGGAGAAGACTCGGGGGTGTATTTATTTATCTTTTTTTTTTTTTTTTTTTTTGCTGTACGCGGGCCTCTCACTGTTGTGGCCTCTCCCGTTGCGGAGCACAGGCTCCGGACGCGCAGGCTCAGCGGCCATGGCTCACGGGCTCAGCCGTTCCGCGGCATGTGGGATCTTCCCAGACCGGGGCACTAACCCGCGTCCCCTGCATCGGCAGGCGGACTCTCAACCACTGCGCCACCAGGGAAGCCCGGGGGTGTATTTATTGAGTGTACACTTCCCCTCCCACTGCCAGAGCCCTGAGGAGATCTTTCTGGAATATTCACTATGAGAACCTGCTGGAGTTCCTGGAGGTAAAGCCCACAACACTGCTAAGACTGCAGGTCTCTAGGGGTTTCTCACTCTCCTGCTATTCCACCCTCAGTCTCTATCAATTTGTCAAAATTCCCACTTAAGTGTTCTTACCTGTTTATGTCTCTAGCAGTTTCTGCTCTATGTAAAGAGATATAGGCTGTGACTCTCTGGATGTCTTTTTCCAGAATTTGGGGTGGTCATTTGCCCTGTGACCTCAGTTCTCTGATGGGTTTAAGATAAGTCATTGATTCTCAGTTTGTTCAGCTTTTTTTCTTGTAAGTACAGGAACAATGACTTCCAAGCTCTTTATATGTCAGAACTGAAACTGGAAGTGTGTCCTATGGATTTTAACAGGATAACTAAAGACGAATGAACACAGCTTTCATCCTCTTCTTTTCAGCTGAACTTCAGATCTGGGAATAAAGTTGCCCTTGAAAGCCTAGCTGCTCCATAAATATCTGCTCTTTTCCCTCCCAGGTATAGAAAATTTACGTGACTCCCTGAACCTGGCATCTCAGCCCCCAAATTCTTAACGTGGAGTGCCGATTAGAATTCAGACTTCCTGAATCAAAGTTCCTGGTGGTGAGGTCTGAGCAACTGTGACTTAACCCCAGTAGAAAAGTCATCTCAGTTACCACCACCACCACCATGAAGCGGCAGTGCACTATACTACTAGGTGCTTGCTTAGACTAGAGTTACCAGTTTCTGATCGCTGGAAGCATTTTCTAAAAGGAGGCTGCATGGTAGAGTACAGACTTTCTCCCCTGGGCTCTACTCTGGGACTTAGCCAGACTTCAGAGCCAGGCAGTCCAAAGTTTAAATAGAGATTTTACCACTAACTATTTGTGTCATTTTGGAAAAGGTACTTAATGTTTTTATAACTCAGTTAAGTCATCCCTCAAAGGGGATTGGTAATAACTACTTCACAGGATTCTTGTACACACTAACTGAGAAACTATCTGATATTCTGAAATATCTGCAAGTGTCAGGTCTTTCTAGTTCCTATTAAAATTGTGATCTAGTCATATTATGGGGTGGGCTGGGGAAAGCAGTAAGAGTAGATGAAGTAAGTCAGAAAGAGAAAACCAAATACCGTATGCTAACACATATATATGGAATCTAAAAAAAAAAAAGGTCATAAAGAACCTAGGGGCAAGACGGGAATAAAGACGCAGACCTACTAGAGAATGGACCTGAGGATATGGGGAGGGGGAAGGGTAAGCTGGGACGAAGTAAGAGAGTGGTATGGACATATATACACTACCAAACATAAAATAGATAGCTAGTGGGAAGCAGCTGCATAGCACAGGGAGATCAGCTCGGTGCCTGGTGACCACCTAGGGGGGTGGGATGGGGAGGGTGGGAGTGAGGGAGACGCAAGAGGG